TTCTCTGATTTTATTCTCCTGTTCAAAGTTTCTGAAGGAAATACTTCATTAGTTCAAGGTTCTTATGAGTACTTTCACTACCTCCAAGATGGATTTGATGACTCGGTAATTATAAATCTTTTTAAACTCAATTCTTCAAAATATATATGTTACATACTGACATAGAGTAATTTGTATCTGATCGTCTAACTTTGAGTCTTATTTGTTATTTTTGCTCAATAAATTGGTTGAAAGCCTGTATTACTATAGCTTGCAAATATTATGGCATAGCCTCTTTAAGCTTATTTAATTATTTGGTTCTTGTGGTCTTTTTTGTCTACTTAGCAAGAAACAATACAATAAGAAAAGCATACAGTGCACGTGTCATATAGATTTTATATACAGGAGCTGAGTTAGAGCATATACTTAAAGGACATTACATACTCCAACTTTTAATATGGACATGTTTCCTCATCTAACTTATGGATGTGTAAGACTTGAAAAAGTATACCTCCTATTCACGTCGTTCGTTAAAGAGATATTGTATGCCTACCTTTCCTTCTAGGATTGATATCACATAGTGACATGCAGTATTGGCTGATTAGGATGTATCTTACTCTTTCTAATTATTATCATCTAACAGTCATGGTTCACCTTTTAGGGATGGGGTTGTGCTTATCGTTCTCTACAAACCATCATTTCATGGTTCAGACTGCAAAAGTATACTGCAGTTAATGTTCCTTCTCATAGGTATTTAATTAATCATTGTTGTTATTAAATTAAAAATATTTGCTACAAAAAGTATAAAGTTAATGTGGTTGTTTTCTTATGGGAACTTTCTCAACTTTCTCAATGGCCTTGTTTGGTAATTAGCAATAAGCTACTCAGTATCTAGTGTTTTTAATTGCTGTCCGTGCTGATAGTATTTGTTGCTATGACTGGTTGATTGCGTTGACTGTTTATGAAAAGGTGTTTAGTAAAATTGGTTGTTTGTCCGTAAGCTAGTGCTACATAGTTGACTTCCTAAGGCCATACATATATTTATACAAAGACTTTTATGCTCAGTAAAAATTACAACATTTTTGTTAGTAAATGCGTATTTAACTAATATTCCATCCCTTTTATTTACTTGCAACTAATCGGGTCTTCGTGGAGTTTAAGAGTGAAATAGTATGGGTAATGAATAATGTAGAAAAGTGTAAAAAGCAGGAGAGATGAGATGGAAATGTTCGAATTTAGAAGATGAAAAAGTAAGGGTATTTATGTATTTGTAGATGATAATCTTACCAAAATAGGAAAGTTTTGCAAGCAATAAAATGTTTCCGTAAAAGGGATATATTGCAAGTATGTAAATATGAAGGGAGTACCGATTAATTAGCATCCGACATGATTTGTTATATACTACTCCCTCCGTCCCGTTAGAAGGTTCCCACTTTCCCTTTTTGGACGTCCCATTAGAAGGTTCTCATTTCCATTTTAGGAAACAATTAACAATCTTAAGTGATAAATTAGTCATTAAATATTAAAAAGAATACATTTATAAGATCACAGTTAATCAGTTATCAATACTAACACATTATAATATATACCTTTTAAAATTATTTCTCAAAATATACCCGAAGTACTTTATTTAATTATCACCTAAATAACCGTGCCGTTTTGCTATGGGAACCTTCCAACGGGAAGGAGGTAGTAATACAAACTCCGTATTAATTTATTAAGACAAAACCGACATTAGCAAAAGTAGCAATCCCTATTTTTATGCGTTTTACAAATTTCAAAATAGCAAGGAGCAAAATGCCTGGACTGTTCCAGGTGTTATATATTTCGAATTTCGTTCCATGATCCTAGATGATACAAGTAACAAATAAAGACCGAAAAGAAAAGTTTTACTAGGAACAAAGTGTGTGGTGCCGTTCAGCCGTTCACCGAAGCACTGCTATGTCAACCAACCGTTTTTTTGGCTTTTGGAGCCCAAAAGCCATTTACTAAAAACACTCATTTTAGCTGGTCAACCAGTCAAACCGGGTAAAAAATGGCTGATTACCCATTTACTGTCATAGTGAGAACCTGTTATTGCAGAGAAATACAACAGGCTCTTGTGGAGATTGGAGATAAGGATCCTTCGTTCATAGGGTCACGTGATTGGATTGGAGCCATCGAGCTCAGCTACGTTTTGGACAAACTGCTTGGAGTAAGTAGGCATTGTGTTGGTAAAACGATCTTAATATTGCAAGTATGTATAGCAATAAAGTTTATAATTTAAATTGCAGTTTGATCTTTGATTTGCCGTGTTAAACAGGTTGAGTGTAAAGTCATAAATGTGAGATCCGGAGCAGAGCTTCCAGAAAAATGCCGAGAGTTGGCACTGCACTTTAAAAATCAAGGGACACCTATCATGATAGGTTAGTAGGACCCCCCCCCCCCCCCACACACACACACATACTGACATACAGACCTTCAAAAAAAATAGTTGTTGAGGTTTTGTTATTAACCTATGTAATATAAATATACCCCCGGTTATCTGTTGTAGGTGGTGGTGTTCTTGCATATACGCTGTTGGGTGTGAATTACAATGATGCTACTGGGGATTGCGCATTTCTGATACTGGATCCTCACTACACTGGCAGTGATGACCACAGGAAAATTGTCAATGGCGGATGGTGTGGGTGGAAGAAAGCAGTTGATGGCATGGGAAAGCATTTCTTCTTGCACGATAAGTTTTATAATCTCTTGCTTCCTCAAAGGCCCAACATGGTATAGTTTGTGTTGCTGATGGATCATTATCACATAGCAGGTTCTATACTTCTATAGGAGCTAGATATATGTAAGGTACCTTTCAATAGTTAAGAACAATGAGTAGTAATCTTACATGCTGGTTTGGGAGTGTGGCACAATAAACCGACACCGAAAAACCATTCTGAAATTCCAAACTAGTATTTTTTTTGTTTACCGTACCCATATTATTAAAATATTTGGTCTGGTTAACTGGCTGAAATAATGGAAAATCTGTGGGTGGTATGGTATCAATAAAAAATCTATGCATGTTTAGATTTCAAGCTTCGCGCTTTAGCACTAGTGTTATTGTGCCCCAAATTGTCTATTTAATAAATATACACTGTTTTTTTTTCTCTTGTATTTCAATTCGGTTAACAGGTTAATTATACCAAAATTGTGATGAACTGACATTCAGTTAATTGAATTAGTAGTACACATGAATACTAGATTCATGGCCGGTTCCCAGACTGACCGGCCCACCGTACAGGGCAGGGTGTACCGGGACAGCAAATGGAGTTTGCATCTACAAGGCATTGGTTATCAGCCTGATCCCAGGCTATTTTTTCACTTTTTGTTGTGTTTTACCATACTATTACATTTGCATTCATCATAGTCATCAAGTTGTGTATGTAACTATGTAAGCACCTCAAAGAAGGCAACTCTTTTTCTTACAGGTGTAGGAAGAGATCAAAGAACATAGTAAAATACAATTAAAAGCTATATCTTTGCAGAGTAAGGATGTTTTTAATTGAGCTGAAATCTTCTTGTCTGGTCTGGCCTGTTTAAGTCTAATTTGGTCAATCTAATTTGGTCTGGCCTGTTTAAGTCTGTGATTGAAACCAGCCCATTAAAAACATCCTAAAAGACAATTAAAGAACAAAGTATAATTTATATACTTCTACACCAAATTTTGTTAATTGTAATTGATTAATACTCCCTCCGTCCCAAAATTGTATAGAATATAATATTATTAATAAATACAGGAGCCAGAACCATTTCTAGTGCCGTCTTTCAAAAACCAATACCAGTTTATTATTTGACTGGTTCAATTCTCAGCCCCCCATCCCTCAAGCCCAGTGCTGATTTCGCATAAAACCGACAAGTTCTTGTTTGTTTCGGAACAAGAAGTTTAAAACCCTATCCACCCTGAAATTCTTGGTATAAAAAATCGAGAAACCGAATTCTTGACTGATTGAATGACATTCAGCCTACATTGTTCTCCCCATGTGTTGGATCGTATATACCTAAGCGAGATCGCATTGGTATAGAACACCGTTATCCAAGGTGTTGCACTGCTAAGTGCCTAAGGTACATGATAGGTGTAAAAAATGCATTGAACACAACCTCAGAAGCTTAAAACTATTGAGCTTTTTATACTCAATGTTTATCCAAATGTTGAACCTTTTTTAAAGTTGAGAGGGTTAATTCGAACATGTTCAGGGGACTTATTTGAGCTTTTAGTTTCGAAGTTAGATACACAATTGGCAAGCTGAGCGGTGATGTGGCGGGTGATCAGATGGTGACCTGTTAAAACTGAAATTTGAACCACTTTTTCCAATTTAGGGTGTGAATTTGGACCTTTTAGTTCAATGACTAAATTAAGCTTACTCCTCAGGTACAAGAGTTCATTTGACCCTTGCCATTTAACTTGGTCTATTTATTAACCAGTTATGCTTATCATTTTTTTGTGCAAGGTTGTTCAAATTTACCTAGGTTCTTGAATTGAGTGGTCATCTGGTCTTGAGGGGTGGAAAAGGTGGAATACATTCACGTAGACGATACATTGTGGCAAATCAATAAAATAGATTTTAAATGAATAAAAAAGAGCTGTTATCGAATTTTTTCGTTGCTGTGGAAACTTGAAAACCATGCTCAAGGATGTTTTTACTTGGATGGTAATCTGTCCCAAACCAGACCAATGTAGTTATAAAAATACAAAGAGACCAGATATTACGAGACCAGGCAAACAAATTTTACTCCAAGTAAAAACATCATAATGCTTAATACGAACGTTGAATGCACTACAATGAAAAAGTTGTGGCGAAAATTAGATCCCCCCTGATAAGATAATGGAACATGTTACTCTAATAGAAGCTTCTACAAATATATTTATAATAGTCAGAAAACAAAGCTACAAGAGGACCCATCGTATCTGCAGACACTCTTGATGACATTGTTTGATAAATTGATAGTACTCGACCCCCAGCCCCCCCCTCCCCCCAGACCCCCCGGAGTAAAAAACCAGTACTCGACCGATATTGTATAAACAAATAAAAAACACAGCACTCTAGATGTTATCTACAAAGCAAAAGCTCAACTCATTATAAAATTTTCTTCTCAGCTTGACTTCTTGTATCAGATCATGCGCACACACAAACACGTAACAATTCTTTATGCTCTTATTCCCTTGAGATCTTGTTGTGCATTATAGAACTATATAGCAGTACCTGGCTTCACTATGCCATGGAGTTTCCACCCACCAAATCCAGCCAAGGAAAATGCCTGACAATGCAACATAATATATCATATAAAAATCAGCACATTTACTTAACTAATCATCCACACAGCAATGAAACAAATCCCCATGTCATTGAAAGCATGTGTTATATGCTTAATAAATCAGAATGGCACTATACTTTCTATTTTAGATAATGGATGGAAATGAAACAGCAAAAAAGTTAATCCCTCTGCCGCAATGTAAGGTTCTTGATTTGGTTTACAATATACAACAGATGATAAAATTATCTTTGTCCTGATATGAATTTAAATCGGCATTAGTTATTACTACATGTAATCTATACATTTAGAGACTACTGTAATACGAGATTTTTACACAAAATCAGAGATTAAAATAAATTGAGTTGACTACATAAATAGTGACGGAGAATCTTACGTTGTGATGAAGGGAATATTATTTTAACCTTAAAAAACTTAGCTCCATTTACTGATCTTACCAGTATTGCTCACCATTTGTGTCAAATGAACTTTATTTTTAACTTTATCATCACACAAAATTATTAGTCTGAAGTTTCTATATGGTTGACACTTTTATTTTCTCCTTATAACCTTATTCATAATGTTTTCTATCAGACCCTAACTTATTTCAGCTCTTCATTTGAATCGATTGATATTAAAATAAAATAAAATAAGTGACCTTTTATGATATCCTTGTCTTTAGATTTTATTATTTTAAATATTAACAAAATATACATAATGGATAATATACATTATAAATTATTATTATCCAATCCATTCGGCCATTTCAAATGCAATTTGAACAAAACCAACCAATTCAACAACTTTAACTCTTTCAGCCAATTTTACACTTGCCAACGGGAATATAATAAAAATGTTCATGATCTACCTTTGGAAAAGATACTTGCCTTTAATGGCTTAATGCTAAACATACCTCCTTCCATGACTTCCCGGTAGCTTCAAGTAAAGCAGCATTACAAGTCTTCAGCTCTATAAGAGCCCCTGAAAACATGGAAGCAGCCTCCTCCCACCCCTTATTGTGCCCCATACACCTGGACATGCATCTTTGAAATCAACGATCTTAATAAATGCATGTTATTGTAGTTACTGTATTATGGAGTAAGTTTTTGACAACTAAACATATGCTTAACTGTATTACAAACAGCAAATCAGGATTCATAACAATGATTATTTGACAACAGCACAAGTGCGCTTCTGTAATTGGACAAATAAAAAGGTTCCATTTCAGCTTTCCAGAACCCAAACATTTGATAATTTTGAAATCTAATTGCTCTCAATCCAAACAGACATGTCCTTGCTCAGTAGATTCTAAGTGTTAATTATTTAGGAAGTTGTATGTACAAGGCTATAAGCATCTATCTTGTCAAATTTCAGAGAGCGTTGACATGTACATTTGTAGACAGATATATGAATTTAAGAATAAGGTTGGATCTAATTTAACCCTGAAATAGCCCTTTAAAGGTGAGGATTGTCCAACATTTACTAATTAGTTCATTCAATTTCATCAGCCGATGTGGGACACTCTCAACATTCCCTCGTGGCAATTTCGAAGGATTATCACCCCCATGTGGCCATGTGGCAATTTCAATATTTTGAGACACTCTTCAAGAAATGCACTTCCACTACATAATGAAGAACTTTTGCAGTGGAGGAACTCACATTACTGTAAGTACATTGTCAGCAGAGTATTTACAGATTGCCTGTCGAAGATGTTCACTCGTCTGCCCATCCATGGCTGCAACAAAATAAAAACTTGAAAGGAAATGCACCTCTGTTTCAAGAAATTCCCGCACCTGCTCCTGCATAATTTTCAGAGTTTCTCTAGTTCTAGCTGCATCACTATAGCAATGCATAAAATATTACAAACACCGAAACAAGTATTAGATTGTTATTGATCACCATCATATAGAAAACATACCCAATAATGAGAACTCGGTTATATTCTTTATAAGAGGGCACAAACCTACATAAAATGAGCCCTGGAATCCATCCCAATTTCCTTAGCTCATGAGAAACTTTAGCGGCATCAAGTTTTCCGGATTGGCTCAAAGGCCGATCATAATCTATGAATGGAAATGGCCAACTAAGAGTTGATATATGGTATATATGGATGCACAACGTCCAACATATAAAAACGAATGTCCTTTAGAAGAAAATGATCCAAATGCATAAGAGTATGTTACACATGCAGGCTGCCAAGGAAAATGAACAGCATCCTTTATAGGGATATAAGCAACCCTCAAAAACATTTTGAAATTGCCAAAAGATCTATTTGACACCTGAAATGTCCAAATACTCATTGCGCCGAAGGGTTCTGCACATTGAGCGAGCAGTTAGTTTCGGTCTTTGTTCGCACGGTATAATTTGAGGTCAACTACAAAGCAACGTTGATGCCATACCGTTTTCCTAAATCTCTGAAGTGATAGGTATTTTCAATAAATTAAATTGCTGTGAGAATAGTTCTTAAAAAATAACCCAACAGGAAGTATGGAAATAGTGGTTCCCAATCATGGTGAACCCAAACATACACAAATACACAACTGAGCAGTGAGCACTTTGGCAACTGATTTGCACAATTTTTTTACCTTATTTAACGAAATGCTATGGTGTTCAAGACAATGGAAGCAATGCAGTACTTCAAACGATGAAGGATTGAAATTTATGACAGAAGGACAAGGCTAAATTACTAATTAGGAACGTACCTTTGAGGGAGCGGTTATCCCATGAACTCTGCGCGTGGCGAAGCAAAATGAGGCGGCGCGGCTCGGAATGCGAATACGGAGCAACCATTTCCGGCGAGCCTGGCTGCACTTGAACGCTGCCGCTCTGAGTCGCCATGGTAGCGGTGGCAGCGACATCCAGAAATTTGTTTCTGCGGCGTCTCTCTCGGCACCTCAGGGTGGGAAAAGAAGTTGCCCGACGGTGACACGAGGTTGCCGCATTCCAGCAAGGGAGGAATTGAAGGGACTGAGCGAGCATTGCTGAATCTCCTCCTTTACTTGCGGAGTTGCGGTGGTGAGTCTTTCTGAAACAACTGTCGCTACTCGCAACTGAACGGAGTAGAAGAAATTTTCCGGGGGGTCAGTCGTGATCTCTTGCCGGAGTCTCAGCCCATCACCCACACGTCGGTTACCCGGATATAGTAAACGATAGTGGACCCTCGGGCTGGCCTGTTTGGCTCGCACATTCTAGTTAAAATTTGAGGAAATTACCCATTAGAGTCAGTTTTACTTTCTCAAAGGAAGGAAGTTTCACTATTTTGTGGGGCCTCTCTCTTTTACATACACTGTTATGAATGGTTTTAAACTCATATATCTAAATCATTGTCTTTTAGAATATTATTGGTATATTTCATTTATCCAATTATGTTAAAGATTTTATCTTTGAAAATATATAGACACAAGTATTTAAAAGGTTATGACTTTATGTCGTACTCCCTCCGTCCCGCTTAAATCTTTACACTTTCCTTTTTGGAACGTCCCAATTACTCATTTACATTTCCTTTTATGGAAATTCTTTTTACATCAAAATGTCTTAACTACCCTCTATAAAATATCTTATCAGCCCACAATTTATTACCCATCAAAGAAGATTACCCAATACTTAGCCCACAATTTATTACCCATCAAAGAAGATTACCCAATATTTAGGGAGTGTTTGCGATTGTTTCTACTTTAAAAAAGTGATTTTTTAAAGTGATTTTGGAGAAAGTACTTAATAGTAAAAGTTGTTAGTATTTGACAAAACAGTGATTTTGAAAAAGTAAAAGTTGGCAGTGTTCGGGAAAATAAGTGCTAATAGAAAAAATGAAAAGTTGTTTAAAGCACCCTTCCAGCTGCTTCCATCTTTTAACTTTTAAGTGATTAATTTAAGCAGAAGCTGTCATTTGAAAACACTTTTTTCAGTTTTTTTAATCCAAAAGCTAAAAAGCACTTTTTTAAGTAAGTGCAAACACTCCTTTATTACACCCTTCAGTTTTTTAATTCACCTAAATTACAGTCTTACAAATGGGCGAGGTAGTGTTACCGGAGAGAAAAGGTGGTGGAAATGGTGGACTCCAGACTGTTCTTGGGTTAGGGCCGTCTAATGAATTTGGAGACCTCGGTTCTAAAATGTAAAATTGTGGCCCCTCTTTAATATAAAATATTAAAAAAAAAAAACTCAATTCAAATATTTATACTTAAATCAATTGAATACTTATTTAATAATGTAATAATTTTTTTTAATCTAAAATTTACTTAATTCTTGATTTAAAGCAACACGCCTCATTATTCAAGCAAAAATTTCAATAAATGAGAACTAAAGGACCAACGAAAAATGATAGATCTATATTTTGATTATTATTAATATATAATACTAATAAAATTTAAAATTTGGGACCATATAAATGTGGAGGTCCTATTCCAGAGAACCTAATTAACCCCTAAAAAACGACCCTGTCTTGGGTGATGAAGATTGAAGAGGAAGGAGATATTGCTCCACAGTGGTTGAGCAAGTTTGCAGATATAGCATGTAACTGTTTGAAGGATCAAAGGATTGAACGGCCGGCGATGAGTGATGTGGTGTGGGGGCTTGAATTTGCATTGCAGCTGCAGGAAGCGGCGGAGAAGATGATGAACAGTACTCTTCAATCCATTTGGAATGGATTATTAAAAAAACATATAAGTATTACACAGTAAAATTGTCAATGACAACTTGAAGTGCCTATTAGGGCATAGCTAGGGTCTAGGGGTCAACCTAAACCCCGCCCATCCTTATATTTATTTTTGTTTATTTTTTTTGAAAGTATTTTGTTTAAATTGTTAATAAAATCGTGTAAAAATGTTTAAAAAATATTACTCTGTATTTGTATTGATCCATTCCAATATGCCGCCATGCCCATGCTCCCCCATTGTCACGGGTCTAACAATAAGGCAGTAGAAATTTTTAGTGATTGGTAAAATTACATTCTTAGTGAAGCAGGACAAAACACTTTAGCTCGTGGTCAATTTAAATCCTCAAAAAATTCCGTTCGAATGTACAAATTTCTAAACTCGTGTGTGAACCAATTGTTAGACCCTCCAAATATTCATTCATGTACTATTAATAGGTGAGTCTCTTTACCTCTAATATGTTCCTGGACTAGACTCAGGGCTGGTCCTGGTATAAGGGCAGCCTGGGCTACTGCCCAGGGCCCACCAGGAAGAGGGGCCCCTAATTTATATAGTATTAGTTTATACATATATATATATAGATATATATATATTAAATTAAATTAAATATTAATATATAATACTAAATTACTCATTATACTCTAATTACTAATACACCGTAGATTGAGCGGAGCGGCATAAGAACACAGAAGTCGAGAAGCCGAGAAGCCATGCGATTTTCCAATATGGAATCAGTTCCGCTTCCTTGGTATAATTTCGGTTAATCTCTTCAGTCTTGGTCGCTTCCGCCTTGATTGTGCACTTGCTCCGAATCTTAATTCTCAAATTCTCAATTTTCAAATCACTGGTTTTTGGATTTTGCCTTTTTCTCTCTGGACGACTGAACGGTTGAACCTCTCAAAGGATCCAACAGGCAGAGTAACAGGTATTTTAGTTTACTAATTATATACTCGGTAATTTATTAATTTCACAAGTTTATTTATTTTTAATTATCTAATATACTTCGTTTTGATTAGAAGCTTATTTAGTTATGATTCATATAGACGATAATAGATACATTGAATAATACTCCGTCCGTATATATTAATTAGATTAACGGGAATTCAAGTTATTGGTCGAATTTAATTCAATTGACTTGTGGACTCTTTGAATAGGGGTATTCTCCAAAACACTTTCCATTTTTTCATACAATTTCAAATTGCTATTGACAAATTCCTATTTTGCACCTCTCAAAAAAAAATCCTATTTTGCATTTTTGCTTGGAGCTCTCTATCATGACTTACGAGCTTTGTGCTTGATGAAAGTTTTTTCATTTTTTTTGTTTTTCGCAGGGATTACATATTTACATATTGCTAGTGTTGACCGACCCTTACATGTTTTAAGGTTTCGTTCCATGGCCCTACCGAAATTTTCAAGTTGTCTCTTCTTTTTCTTGCAATTTTATATTAAAAACATCCAAAAAAATATTCATCTGGCAGTGAAAAAAGAAAAAAGGAAGCTAATTGACGAGTAAAATATTTTAATTGTATAATGAATTTTATTTTTGACAATGAAATTTTTATATTACATTCTTACTATATATAAAATAAGGGGCCTATTTTTTTTCTTTTGTCCCGGGCCTATAAATTGTCAGGACTGTCCATGACTAGACTAGGGTGCTACGTACAATTCTACAAATATGGATTTATTTAAGGTGTCAATAGTGTATGTTTGAAGGATTTAATTAGAGTACCTAGCAGGATTTTGATTTCGATTTCGTTGAAAAAAGTAACTAGTTTTTCATGGATATGACTTACTAGCAAAGTATTATTCAGGTTGTGAATAATATGGAGTTCGAATTTGTGTACATTGAAAGGAGTCCTTTCCTTGCTTAATGCTTGTACTCTTCATTCTTATGTGTAGTTCCGTTTTAGAAATGAAAATTGGGGTGTGGACTCGTTTAATTTTTAACCATATCTTTCGATATATTAATCTTTGTAAATTTTATTGTTTTTCCAGATTTTCTTCACTTCGAAACTCCTAATCCGCGAATTCCTATTGTTCCATTCCGTCACCGACATTTACTTTACTTTCACATAAATGTGAAGGATGCATTTAGCTTCATTCATAATTCATTTTGGAGTGGTACACAAAAGTTTAAGACCGTATTGTATCACCTATCTCTATTCTTAAAAAGATGCTTATGGAATTTGTTTTCCAAAATTAGTTATTTGATCAAGTGTATTCCATTGCGTTGGAATAGAACACCGCTAGTCCCTTATCCAACGTGTTGCACTGCTAAATCGTGCCTAAGGTGATAGGTGTAAAAAATGCATTCAACACAACTCAAAAGCTTAAAAGTAACTACATAAATATAGTACTCGGGAAAAAAGAGAAAATGTTCTAAATAGGACTAGAATATGATGAAAGTATAAAAATAGACCTAGATTTCTTCATGTCACCCGGTAGAAATAAAGTGATAGTGAAGATAAAAATGTTCTTAGAAAAACATTGCCAACTTTCCTCCTTTACTTGCGGAGTTGCGGTGGTTAGTCTTTCTGAAACAATTGTGGCTAAACAAGAGCTGCTACTCGCATTTGAATGGAGACAAAGAAATTTCCAGGAGAAAGAAATGAAGCAGAGTCAACGGGCGATCACTCGTGATCTCTTGCCAGATTTTCAGCCCATCACCCACACGTCGGGTGCCCAGATATAGTAAGTTATAGTGGACCCTCATATCAAACGGTTTATGAGTGGGGTGGTTCAAAACCACCACATTGGATAGAACACCCACACTGACGCTGTCGGGAATTAAACCTGAAACCACAACCCAACAACCTTACTCGGCCACCGTTGAGTTACTCGTGCGGGTTGCGATAGTGGACCCCTCTCTATGCGGGCTGGCCAGTTTGGTTGGAGAATATTTATATTTAAAATAAATTTTAGATTTTTTGAAAGGAAATAATTTTTAGATCTAGAAACATTGAAATAAAGTGAAGACAAAATAGTATATAAAAGTATATTATATAATTAATTATATAGTTTTTTGTAGTTCAAAATTAATAAATTTAGATAAATGAGTAAAGTAAAAAATCAATCCTTTCAAAAAAAAAAAGTAAAAATCAATCCTCTCTTTCCCCACCCTTCCCCCAACCAAACTAATTAAAATATGCATTAGTAATTAAATTGTTGTTCAAGTAAAGGTTAAAGTAGATAAATACTACTGGTATCATTTTGGCAAACTCTTTTCCAAATTAAGTTGTTGTTTGAGAAAACAATGCATATTTTATACTGGTATCACAAATTTGCCCGTGTTAACTATCCTTTCCTCTAATGCTATTGTATTGTATCGTATTTTGGAGGAAAAGAAAATGCACTTAATTGTAAACTTTTAAATAGGTACAAAGATATTCTAATAATTTCTAAAGTGTAACATTTGTTACATTGAAAATATACCATTATTATTATTAAGGTGTTTGAAGAAGAGTTGAGAGATGGAGAGGGAAGGTGAGTTTGGAGATGGACGGAAGAAGGCGATGCACGAGGTA